CTTCATAAACCGAGGTTCCACTGTACTTGTCCGGAGGGAGGGGGAGTCATCTTTTATATATTCTCTTTTTCTTTTTTTCTATCTCTTTGCATTTCTGTTTTTCTTTACTTTTTATATTTTCTTTACTTTGTATTAGTCTTTTATCTTTATATTTGTAAACTCTAATAAAATTATTATTAAAAAAAGATTTAAGAAATTAAAAAAAGAAAAATGTGAATTAAATGGGGGGCTGAAGGGACTTGTATAACATGTAAGAGGGAGGAGGGATAATATGATTATAATTATCTGTTCAAAACAAGGTTGGAACTTATTCAAATATTCTTTAACTTTAGTTTCTTTTTCTTTTTTATTTCTTGCACTTTTTTCTTTCTCTTTTTCTTTCTTTCCTTTTTTTTCTTTCAATTTGTCTTTTATTCTATGAAAAAATTATTTAAATATAAATAAAAATATATATCAAGGGGCCCAGCAAATGTTAAGTATTATAGGTTATAAGATTTTCAAATTCAGTCAAATGCCTCAGTAGTTCCCCTTGTTTCTGTAATTCTCTTGTTGCCATGCTTTTTATTTGAATATTGGAATCAAGTAAGTGTGGAAGAGCACTGTGTAACAAAAGACTCAAGATATCTTAATTTTGTCCTATTAATAATAAAATCTTGTAATCTAAACAGATTGTTGTCTCTAAATTGAGCAAATTTCTTCATAACAAAAGTTGACATTCAGCAAGGAAGCAAGAGGAGGGAAGTGTGTACTTATTGTTTTTTCCAAATTTATCCCAGATGTTCAATAAATTGCTTAATATTGGATAGTCTGTAAAAATTGTTTATTTCTCTATATATGGACCCAAATGTATCAATGTAATCCCTGTGGAAGATCTACCCCTCATAGAGAAGGGTCTCCTCCTCCCTAATAAACTGTGATGACCCTTTCCAGGAAATGAAGCTTTCACAGAAAGTGACAAGTGCTCAATGATTCTGCAGTATGATGGTTAGTGATCAGGATCTTGCATTTAGCCATTTAAGCTCCAGATTCTCTTGACTAGATAAAACTGCACTTGGCTCCATGCCAGCAAATCAGGATTCTTACCCATTCAAACTTTGAGAATAGGCTGAGATTGTTTCAGCCCCAAACCTCCAACCAGATTACAATTTCCTCTTTGTTATGATGGTTACTGATCAGGTGTTATTGAGATACCATTTCTCATGCTTAGTTCACTTTGTCCCTGTGTAGCTAAGGATAATTGATAGGAGAATGGTGAGGTGTCATTTATTCGTTCTGAAAATGTTCTAGAACCTCCTATGCTATATTGTTAAGTTACTTTCAAACATCTGACAAAAGTAGCAAGTCACTAACTCAGTGATGGCTGGTATGGTTTATGCATGGATGAAGGGATTGCCCCCTAACTCTATATTTCTTTTGTCTAAATAAGCATTCAAATATACTCAGTTCTTATTTAAGCAGTGGTTATATGTTTTTATTAGCTATGGCAATTGCTAAATTAGAAGCACCATGTTTGCATATCACAGCTTCTACAATTCTAAATTCTACAAGTGAATTATTGAGTGAAGAAAATTATTATTGTAATTTATGTGTTATTATTATTGCTACTATTAAAGTCTGTCATAACTCTGTTGCCAGCCAATGTCATGTGGTAACCTCCAATTATAATATTGTAAGAGAGAAAAGGGCATGTCTCATCTATTCTTAGTTGTCTCATCATATTATCATCTGGTCTTAAAGTAGTCTTCCTCAAACTCAAACTATCTAGATATATTGGTTCAAAACTCCAAATTCCTAGTTGGTTGAGATAATGGCAGTTGAACTATCACATATCTGAAGTACATTAGGAAGCAGAAGGCTACCTTAAGAAATGGG